ACGTAGCCATTGTTAAATGGTGCTGGCCTCCTACAGCTTGGAGGTAAACAGATCCTTTGTTGCTGCCAACAACAGGGGCCAGAGCGCCTGGGGCTTGTATTTTTGCATTACAGAGCCTTGGTTCCCTGGCCTATCTTGAAATTCCCGGGCTCCAGCAAATGGTATTAACCAATCAGCATCCGAGCCTCTCCACCCTAGAAAAGCAGCTGCCGCTTGGGCTTCTCTCTCTCTCTCTCTCTCTCTCTCTCTCACTTCCTCTTTCGCTTTCTCTCCCTCACCTGCTCTCCCTCTTTTCTCTCTTTTTTCTTTTCCCCAATTTTCCTCAACCGAGTGCTCCAAATAAAGGCGTGATTTGGGAAGCAATCTCGATTTCGTGGTCGTCCCTTCTTGCTGGACAAGGGGGGGCGTCTCACAGGATCCGATGAATAAGATCTCTGTATGTGTGCACATTTGTAAATGCACAGCAACATTACTCGGAGGTCTTCAACTCTGACACATTTGTGTGACAGAGGACCAATACATTTGTCTAGAATTGTTAGGGAAGAAGTGTTTGCAGTAAGACTGACACCCTAAGAACCAATATTCTACTTTGTACAACTGGGATAGGAATCTTTCTAAAATTCTACCTTATACAACAGTCAACAACAACTGGACATCCTGTTGACAGTGGCACAACGTTATGACCATCACTCAGTAGAAGCTAAGCAACAGAGAGTCTTGGAATGATTTCTGGAACTTTTCTTTCTTGCCTACCTTTCCCTTTGCCATTGGGATATTGCCATTATGGTGCATCTCCTTGTTGCAAGTTTAAGACTTTGCATTTTTCTAATTCATGTTCATGATCGAATAGAGACTCGAAAAGTTCAGTGGTCATAGTCCTTTATCCAGTCTTCTGTGATGGCGAGTTCATCTCTCTTAAGCGCCTCTCTCTCCTGTTTCCTAATCTCTACTTTAGTAACAGAAAGTTTGGTAAACAAATGTCCTCTGGACAAGTGGGGACAGCCACACAGCGGTGAGATCTGTGTTGCACTAATGTGCAGGTCCAAGGGCTGAGAGGAGCACGGTGTGATTGGCTTAAGTCCCGGGATGATGTCACACATCTTTCATTCCATGCATTATATGATTCAAGGTAGGAAAGAATTTGAAAATATAAAAATAGCAAATGTTTTAAAACCCTATCATTTTTTCCTTCTAATTAAGGACTCAAGCATGTCTCATTAACTCTGCAAACTACCCTGGTTACCCCAAGACAGAGACTGGTAAGTAACACAAAATATTCCACGTTTCAGGCAGATGCTGTTGATCTAGGTTGCACTACTAGGCATTGCTGAGCCTAGGAGAGTGAAGCGATCATTCTCCTGTGACTCCTCTCTATCAGTTTTATGTAAAAAGCACGCCATAGGCTGCTGAGATGAGAAGACTCAATGTGTAAAGGCACACCATAGGTTGCTGAAATGAGAAGACTCAATGTGTAAAGGCACGCCATAGGCTGCTGAGAAGAGATGGCTCATAATGTGTAAAGGCATGCCATAGGCTGCTGAGATGAGAAGACTCCAAGTGTAAAGGCACACCATAGGCTGCTGAGATGACTCAATGTATAAAGGCACGCCATAGGCTGCTGAGAAGACTCAATGTGTAAAGGCACGCCATAGGCTGCTGAGATGACTCAATGTGTAAAGGCACGCCATAGGCTGCTGAGATGAGATGATTCAATATGTAAAGGCACGCCATAGGCTGCTGAGAAGGTCAAAGAGAAAAAGCACCTGTGCCAGTCCTGAGGACCCAAATCCAATCTCTGGGACCCACATGGTAAAAGGAGAGAATGAACTCTTGCAAGTGGTTGTCTGATCTCACATATATGCTATGACAGACTCTCTCTCTCTCTCTCTCTTTCTCACACACACACACAAACACACATACACACACATGAGAGAGAAAGAGATGAAAATCACAGAGCATGTTGTTATCAGAATCAAATTATCAAAATCAAATGAGTCCTGAACTGTGCCCCTCTAAGGCTGGCCTGGGGAGAAACGTATGCTCTAAATGTCTTACTGATACCTAGGAGTCAACACTGAGAGCTGTGTATAGAGATGTGTGGCCACATGCTGCTGGGGCTGAGAGTTAGTGTTTGAGAACTTCAGTTATTCCAAGCATAGGGCAGTCAGTAGAGCACAAAGAGAAAAGTACTCATGGCTTCAGTCGTTCAGGGCCTCTCGGTCACACCCCGTCCTAGAGAGCAGTCGGTGGCTCAGCGAGGCCTTTCTTCATGAATGAATGGATGACTAGCGACATGGACTGCATGCTGGGGTTGGACACGGGGCGGCACTTTGCGTACAATTTTCTTTCCTCTGGATACGTTTAACATTTTCTCTTTATTACCAGCTTAGAGCAATTTGATTACCATGTTCTTTGTATAGTTCCCTTCATTTTGTGCCTGTGCTTAGACTTTCCTAACTTCCTTGATATATAAATGTGTGGTTTCATTAAATATAAAAAGTTCTCACTTTTTAAAAGCTATTCTCCGCTCTCTTCCTTGCCCTCTCGTATGGGAAACATTACACATACCAGCCTACTGAGTGCAACTGTGCCGACATTGTTTTTCTTCTCTCTGTGTTTCATTTTCTATAGTTTCTTATACTGTCTTCAAGTTCTTTGATTTTTTTTTTACCCTTTTGCATTATTTAGTCTGCCATTACTTTTATTCTGTGCAGTTTTAATTTCAGACACTACTTTCAAGACTCCAGAGCTTTGATTTAGGTCATCTGCATATCTCCCCTTCACTTTCTGAACACATGAAATACAGAATTTAAGTTCAAACCTTTGCATTCAAAATCTTGTAGTGTCCAAGACATTTCTTCACCTTTAAATTGTCTTAAGGACATACAAATTTCTTAAGGAACATGAAAAATGATAAAAACAGAAAAGTATACTGACAAATACAATAATTTATTTAAGATTGTATCCTAAAACATGTGATTTGCTATTACGTAAATCCTCATGTCTCAGGTCAGGCTCACCCAAGTATGCTTGTCCATAGGTGCACTGAGGAAGGGAAGCTGGGGGGACCTGTGTGCATGGGGTGCTCTTGATCCCACAGACAGACAACTGCCTGATCTGCTGCATCTTCTACTATGTCTGCATCCAGTGTTCTGATGGTCCTGCATGCTGCGGACTGTGGCAGTCACATGGCTTCTGTTCAAGAAGTCGTGTGACACACAACAGAGCTATAATTTGCTAGTCCTCTCAGGCCAAGGTTGGAATTGTGATGCAAATCAAAGCTTCTGAGCGTGAAAGCTTGGAGAGATGCAAGGCCTGCTGGCTAGCTCAAAGGCTCTTCCACTGTTACCTCTTCCCTAGCCATGGCAGGCTGTGTGCTGGCCTTCTGAAGAGCAAGACTCTTCTTTTAAAACTTCTCTCCCAATCTCTGTTTGAAAATTAGAGACAGCTTCACCTACGACCCAGCCCAACCCAAATCTTTTTTTTTAAAAAAACATTTATTTATTTATTTATTTATTTATTTATTTATTTATTTATTTATTTATTTATTATGTATATAGTATTCTGTCTTCTTGTATGCCTGCAGGCCAGAAGAGGGCACCAGACCTATTACAGACGGTTGTGAGCCACCGTGTGGTGGCTGGGAATTGAACTCAGGACCTTTGGAAGAGCAGGCAATGCTCTTAACCACTGAGCCATCTCTCCAGCCCCCAACCTGAATTCTTTAAGCACTGGAGGTGCCTCACGGGTGGGAGTGAACTGATCAGTCCTTTGTTTGTTTATTTGTTTCTCGAGACAGGGTTTCTCTGTGTAGCTTTGGGGCTTATCCTGGAAGTTAAGTGAGTTGAGACCGGTCTCAACCAGTGAGTTGAGACCGGTCTCAAACTCACAGAGATCTGCCTGCCTTTGCCTCCTGGGTGCTGGGATGAAAGGCGTGAGCCACCACCCCCTGGTAAACCCTAAGGTCTTTGAGAGAAGAGGTGAGCTTACCCACCATGAGCAGCATCAAAAGAACTCATTAGGTCTGGGCCCAGAGAGTTAGGATGTCGGGGAAGATAAAAGGAAACAACGAAAGCTCAGGCTCCATCTATGGAAAGTAGAAGTGAGAGGAGAAAGGCAGACTTTAGAAGGACTGAGCAGGAGTGTGCAGCTGTATTGTGTCCTGTGCATCTCCAGCATGTGATTCTGAACATTATGTTTCTGCATGTCAACAGGAATATGTTTTGAAGAGAACGGGTGTCAAAGGAATAAAGTGATGATGAACATTCCAAACTCAGGCACTGATATTGAATGAATGAAACATGATGGGAAAACTCAAAATTTTTTATCTCTTTTCCTGGCCTTTCCCCCATACATCCTCTGGCTGGTACATGGAACTGTTAGCGAATGGCTAACATGTACTTCCCATGACTTCTTTAATAAGGAGAATCCTTTCTACCCCAAATGAAGGGATGATGATTTCTTATGAAAATCAGTCAGGGGCACAGTTTGGAACACCTTGGAGGAAAGGGGGTTTCTTTCTGGTCATTACAGTCATGCATCTGCTGTTTCCTTTCATTAAGTCTGCACTTTTCTTAGCTTTAAGGACCAGGAACTGGCACTACACTGTCTACATGTTCACACTGTAATTTATAAAAGGTGTTTAGATTCACCTCCCTTGATGGTCAATGGTAATGCTTTGAAACATCAACATATCGTAATAATTCCTGAAGGATAAGCAGGTTAGCTATCCATGAAAAATGATACACATTTTAGAGGGTTTTTAATGGCTGTACTCATGTCTGTTTCTCTACATTTACAATGGTCTTCAAGGACACTCAAGTACCTAAAAAAATTTTAAGGGCATTCTCTAAGTCCAGCAGCTCAATAGAATTGGTTTTCTCTAATGTCTTAAAAATATTTATTAGAATTACATTTTTTTTTCAAACCTATACTTGTACCATTTTTAAAAGTTGCTCATAATTCCAGATTGTTTTTGTATTGCAATGAACTAGTCATACCTTCCAGCTCCCTGCAGCCAAGTTCTGCAGGGCGCCTGCTGCCCCTTCCAGCGTGTCTGGGTTTGAGCACTCAGAGAGCAGTGTGAGGTAGGGTTTGACTATGGATGGGTGCCACAGCATCTGGATCCCTTTGGGTGGTTCTGCACAGTCTGGAAGAGGTCCTACTCCATCCCACTGGGGAAAGAAAAACGAGAGAGTAAATATCTTTAACATCTTTATGCTTCACGATACTGCCTCCTACATAAATCACAGGTTAACACAAAAGCAGGCATTATAGCATTCTGTCAAAAGCAATGAAGCAGAGAGGGTCAGCAGTTGAAGAACCACCAAAAATCAGAGAGCTATTCTTGATACAGAACTTTTGATCAAGGGAGGATGGGGGTTGGCCTATGTTCAGAAGTGACTGTGCCTAGCATTTGAAGGGGGTCCGCTCTTGGAAATATTCCAACACAACTGCTAGATCAAGGAAGGAGACAGAGATGCATAATTCTGGAGTGCAAGAATGGCAAGATCAAGGTCACATATTTTATTATCGGCACATAGCAGACACTGCACAGAAGTGATAAGCTACCAACCTAACACCTTTATTTATTCTGCATAAGTGTGATAACTTCTGCACAACTCTGGTAAGTTTCCATGTCTTAGGCTTGATGAAGGTTACCATCACTGTTTCTAACAAACACATAAAAATGTACAACGGAGAGCAAATTGTTATACTTAGTATATACATTGACATGAACTATGCAAATGTACTCCTGGCTGTACTGAAGCTCACTGTGTAGACCAGGCTGGCCTTGAACTCAGAGACCTGCCCTCCTCTGCCTTCCCAGTGCTAGGATTAAAGGCATACACCACCATACCAGGTGGAAAGTTTAGATAGATCATACTGCCATTCTATGGTTAAATTTACTTTCTGCTGAATATAATGAATAATAAGAGAATCTGTAACCAAAACCTAACTGCATATAGCTTAAAAATTATAGCTTATATTCACAAGGATATACCAGTTCACCACTAAAAATGGCTGCCATGAGGACTGCGGCATCTTGGGCAAATTGTAACAATAAAAGTTAAATGAATGAAGTAAAGTAAAGGTGTGTAGGTTAATGTTTATCCTAAGCAAATGCATTAGAAAAGTCTATAATAATAATAGTGAAAAGCTTTAATAAAATGATTCAGTTCTATTTTTTGCACATCAAATCTTATATTGTTTCTTGATTTAGCATTTCTCTGTGTAGCTTTGGAGCCTGTCCTGGAACTAGCTTTTGTAGACCAGGCTGGCCTTGAACCCACAGAGATCTGCTTGCCTCTACCTCCTGAGTGCTGAGATTAAAGGCATGCGCCACCACCCACCACCACCCAGCATAATCTTGTATCACACTTATTTTTAAAAGTAACAACATTAAAATAATATATTCATCTTTGATCGCATAAATATTATCTTCTGTGAAAACTAAAGGCAGGGAGCACAGGTCAAATTATCTATTTATATCTATGTACATGCATATATATATATATATGTATACACACACACAAATATTACATTTAATCCTGAGATAGTTTATAGACAAAGCAATTTCTTTCAGGTTTAGAGAAGAGATGCTAAGCTATTCGACTTATTGTATACCTTAATAATTACATCAAAGTAAACACAGTTGATATATATATAGTGTTCTTGCATACATTTTATGTACATAGATATATCTGTAGATATGTCTACAGGTGAGCCAACATGAAAATATTACTAGATTTCAGAATCAGAATAAGCACATGCAGTGTTAAGTTTCCATCAGGGAAAGTGCTGGCTTGCCTAGTATCCTTGTTACATAAAAATGGAGATGTGAGAGACACTTTGTTACTTAACTGCCATAATAGTTTCAAGAATTTCATTATTTGCCGAGATAAAGATAAAGCACTCCTGTCTTGTTTCTCTCAATTATGCTGTGGCTCGGTTTAAGTTAAGGCTGCGGCCTGGCAATAAATGACATCCCACCGATGGACGGTGGCTAAGCCATAAAAGGTCATTCTTAATTAGCTGGACATGCAATTTCAAGTTTGTCATCAGGGCACTCAGTGTACGAGGCTTCTTGTTCTTTTCATCCAACTCTCATCTTGACTGCTCCAAGAAGCCCCACGTCTGTGAACAGCCACCCATAGAAGAGGCCTATGCCTTTTAAATGTTAGGAGGAAAGTTACCCAGCCCTGCCACTCTGCTCCTGGCTTGTTACTCGAAACTAGCTTGTCGCAAATGAAGAGAAAGGCAGCACCAGAGAATGAGCAGTCATTCTGTAACTTTGCCTGCTTCAAGGCCGAGCAGGAATAACACAGGCTTCTCAAGAGTCCAGACTGGCAGAGCGAGTCTATCTGCTAGTACGAGAGATAGACACAGATTTCATTTGTTTTTTTTCGTTTGCTTCATTTTCTAGTCTGTTATCTCTTAGAACATTTCAAGTTCTGAAAGTCTAATAATAGTCACAGAAATCAGCATATAAAACTTCAGCTGAGCCCAGACGAGCTTTGCCTCTGTCAGGACCGTCACACACACACACACACACACACACACACACACACACACACACGCACGCACGCACACACACGCACGCACACACACAGACACACACGCACTCACGCACACGCATGCGCACACACACGCACACACACGCACGCACACGCACAGACACACATGCACTCACGCACACGCACGCACACACACGCGCACACACACGCACACGCACTCACGCACACGCACGCGCACGCACACGCACGGGAGGAGGGTGTGCTGGGATGCTTGCTACGGGATGTGGCAGCTGATGTACATGGGGACGACAGTCACATTCGCTTTGCCTGGGATTCATCTCATTCCCCTTTTCCCAACTCCTGCTCTATAATGCACAGTAAATGATTAGATCACTAGACACCTTTTTTCTGCTCTGACATGTCTTCTCTGCAAGCCTTAAATACCTTTTATTATAATCATGTCTCAACAGCTTCAGAGGAAATCCAAGGGAATAAAAGAACAACTGGCGTGAGCGTGGATAATCTTTGATAGTGACCAGGGGCTGGAGTTCAAAGGGGGAAATCACTGCGATTTCAGAAAGTTGACGAAACCCAGATATGTTAATACTGAAGAAAAAGAACCATTTCAAAGCCAGTCAATGTAACGGACCTTTATCTGGGCACTTTTATTGAGTTAATTAAAGAGGAAGCATCAATTTCCCCTTAAAAACAGTTGGGAGCATTCGATATATGCTGTGTCGATATATGTGACCTTGTTTAGCTGGCTAATCAACACCAAGAAGGTGTAGGTCAATGTTGGTGTGGATTTAATGGTGCAGGATGCAGGTGAACTATATGTAGCAACTGTTTGTTATTTCCTTTAAAATTTCACACGTGAGTGCTGTATTTACATTATTTCTACATCTTCTCCCTCTACAGCTCCTCCCCATCCCCATGATTTCCTGTCAAATTCATGATCTTTTCCTTCTTCAATTACTATTGTTAAGTATATATGAAAAAATGCATCTGCTGAGTCCATTTAGCATTGCTCATATGTATATGTGTTTATGCTGACTGTTTGGAATTAAATCTAACCAGGGGTTTGACCTTGGAGAAGACTGAGTCTCCCTTTCTCAACAGTCATGAACCGCCTGGAGCCCTTCATCTGGGGTGAGGCCTTGGGAGACTCCTTCCATCCATGTTGGCACGTCCACTGTTGCTGGTTTTGTGTAGATGCCTCTGGTTTTGGGATTTCACAGGTACAGCATCCCTGTAGTACACAGCTGACACTGTCTCCTAGCAGATGGTCTAGTCTTCCGGTTCCGACAGTCTTTCTGCCCAGTTTTCCACAGTACTCCTTGAGCCTTGGGTGCAGAAGTGCACTGTGGGTGTATCCACCATTGCTGGGTAGTCCACAGTCACTTGTTCTCTGGATTTTGACAAGTTGTGGATTTCTGCAATGGCTTCTATCTGCTGTGTGTACGGGGGGGGGGGGGGAAGGACCTTCCTTCATTGGTAACGGGTCAGATCAACACTTATATCTGGGTATAAGGTAGAGTGTTTAAGTGAAGTTACAAATTAAACTAATTAGGAGACAGCAGTAGGCTCTCCTCCAGGGCCCATCACCTCACCGGCCAAGGGTAGCTGGAGGGTTTACAGGACCAGGGGCTACAGGAAGTCCAATTAGATAGCTGTCGGTTACTCTCGAGATGCAGGTGCCACTACTGTGCCCTTGCGGAGATCTCGCCACTGTCCTGCTTCAATCTGTTGCCGTGGTTCACTTTACAGTGGCCTATGACTACGGATTGGCTTTTCGGATTGGCTTTTCTCCTTTGGCAGCTTCCTGGCACCTTTAGATACTATGAGAGTCAGTCCCCAGAAAGGAGCCTCTGCACCGGTTCCACGGATTTCTGCAAGTCCTGTGTCAAATGTGTGTGGTGTTTTCAGTGATGGGGTGTGTTCATAACAGGTATGTGGAGGAAGGGGGATTACTATTTATTGTTTTGATTGCAAACTGGATCAGCCATCATGGAAATCAGTTTGGAGAATTCTCATAAAGCTAAAAATAGATCACATCGTGATATACAGTAGTACTGAAAAACCTTCCAGATATTACTACTGCATGTACATCATTTCTCTCCCTAGTTCCTCCTTCTGATCATTGTTTTCTTGAACCTAGTCATTCCGACTGGGGTAAGATGAAATCTCAAAGTAGTTAAAATTTGTATTTCCCTAATTGCTAAGGATGCTGAACACTTTTAAAGGTATTTATTACCCACTTTTAGTTGTTCTTTTGTGAATTCTCTGTTCAGATTTAGAGTCCAAATTTTAAAATCTGTTCATTTGTTTTCTTGATTCTGCTTTTTTATTTGTTGATTCAGGTTATTAATCCCCTATCACATGCAGAGTTGAGAGAATTTCCTCCCATTCTGTGGGCTTTCTCTTCACCTGGTGGAGTATGTTCTTTGCTCAATACAAGTTTTTAGTTTTACAAGGTCTTATTTGTTAACTATTGGCTTTAATTCCTGAACGAGTGGAGTTCTATTCAGAATGTCATTTCTTGTGTTTACATTGTGTGGGGTACTGCTTATGCTTCCTGAGCACTTTCAGGTTTATCATCAAGATCTTGGCATATAAAGAATAATAATAAAACTGGGATAAACAAAACCAAATAAGCT